CCGCCGCCGCCGCCGCCGCGGCCGCCGCCGCCGTCGCCGCCATTTTCCCAGAGCGAGAAGCAGTGACACTGAGCGGGCGCAGGGGGCCGAGTCGGAGACCGAGCCGGAGTCGGGGAGCGGCCACCGAGGGGGCACAGACACTCGGAGCAGCCTCGCCGTCGCCCCTGCTTTCCCGTGGACCGCCTGGGCGCGCCCTCCCCGACCCCGGCTCCGGGAGAAGAGGCTTCGCGCTGCTGTGTGGGGAGGGTGTGTGTGGAACCGGTCCCGCGTCCGCAGTGGCTGCTGTCGGGGGGTCGCCGGGTCGCCGAGGTGCCGAGACACTTCTGGGGGACCGAGCAGATAACGGGGTCCGGGCGTCTGGTGTGTGAACACCCCAGGTCAGTGCATGTCGCGCCCGTGGGAGTCGGTAGTGTCGGGGTTCGGGGAGGGGGCGCCGCGTCGTTATCCCTCGCAGGCGAGAGGACGCAGACTCTGGGCGTCCGCGCCCGGCCCGGAAGGTGCTCGCGTCCATCGGGCTGCCCTGTCCCGTGCCTGTCCCAGACACGGAGCATTATGGCGGGTTTTGGGGTGGTGGAAGGGGGAACTGGCAGTTCAACCCCTGCGAGCGGGGGTTGGGGTGGGCGCCTGCCTCCCGGGGCCGCGGTGCGGAGGGAGCGCGGGCCGGCGGCGGGGCTCGCGTCTCCGAGGCCCGGGAGCTGCCAGCGGGCCCCTTTCTCAGCTGTGTCTGGTTCAGGTGCTGAAAAGCCGGACAGGCCCCCTTTTCTCCTCCCATTTCCCGATTGGCAGTGCCTGGCATAAGGTCCTCGCAGATACGAAGTGGGGCAGAAGGACGGCCTGGGCATCTCTCTTTGTGGGGGAGCGAGACAGCTCCCCATCCTCGCCCGGAGAGGGCGAACCCGCCCCCGTGGTGGTCACCCCAGCACCCAGCCTTCGCAGTCTCCACCCCCACTCCTCTTGCTTTGCTGTCGGAGCCCCAGAATCCACAGTGTGGCTCATTGCAGAAAAGCTTATTTGGACCAAAGGACTGGCACAAACACTGGCAGCAGACAAACGGTTCCCTGTGCTGGACTGGGGAGGAGGGAGAGAAAGCAATCCAGAGCGCTCGCTCTTATTGGCCTCAGTTCTGCGTATCCGTCCCGGCCGGGCTCGCTCTCGGGAATGATACAATGTAAAGTCCAAGCGAATCGCTACAGTTAGCTACAGAGTAAATCTCGTGTTGCCTATTTTATTCACCTTTTAGAGATGTGAATGAGGTAAGGGCTTGGAGTTCTGAAGACCTTGAAGAGAATCAAGCGAAGTGCCCTCAACTCTAGGCTGGAGACATCAATAGCTAACTGGACAGTGGTCCTGTTTCTCCTTTAATTTCAGAGATGGGAGTAAAAACTGTAATTTCCCTCTTTTGTCCTTTACAGATTCTAAAAATGGCGGCCCCAGGCTGATGTTGTGGTAATCTAATCAGCTCGGGTCCTCCACACCCCATGCAGTGCGTTTGTCTGCAGCATATTACAGGCTTATTATGTTTACATGAAAAGACAACGCTTTTTTTCTTTGCTCGCGCCATTTACAAAAATGCGCTGATTTTACTGCACATTACAATATTATGTTTTTAGTTTATTTTATTTTTCCTGAGAGCCAGATACAACGACAACACTTTTGAAAAAAATAAAAACACCCAGGTAGCCTTGGAAATTTCAGTGATCAGGATGGATGCTCTTAAACATTATAAAAAATACTCAAGTACCAATAATAGTTTATGTTGGGTTTAATTCAAGCATGATCTATTCAATATGTCAGTATAGATTTAAAAATCGTGTAAGAGTATAAGTGTAACCTGTTTTATATGATTGGATGTTTTAACCTAGCGTGAAACATTTCTCATCCAACTCTCGACCAATTTTGGTTTTTGTATTGTTTCCCCGTAAATTTTAGGGAGCTGTACAAACGAGCCTAAACCTGTTACTTCACTTGAGAATAAAGATGCTATCCTTTCCAGTATATTTTGCATCAGTTTTCCCCGTGTATTTAAAGCTTTCCTTAAGAAATTCAAAGTTGATTGTGTGTCTGGTAAAGTGAAGCTGTATGTTTTGCTGCCTTTTAAATTTGTCTTACAGCATACTATCATTATGTAAGTAAGAAGTAAGGCTTTGTTTCTTGATTCCTCACCCCCACTCCTACCTAACATGCCAATTTACCTATTAGGGGATTGTGGAACTTAGTCTGTTTTAATACACCTTAAATACAATCATTACCATAATATGGTCTTGAATCAGTTTTATGTTTTTTTCTGAATCTTATGGACTGATACTGAAAGTTAAATGGTGTCAGGTGTCATGTAACTGTATTTTCAAAAGTGGAATAATTAGAATTCATTTCTATAGTGGGAGGCGGTCTTTTGGGGCTGTACCAAGCAGTGAGATATAAGTGGGTCATTAAATGCCATTACTGTCCCTTCTGATTGTGGAACAACTGAAAGATGCCTGTCAACCCAATGGTACTTAAAAGATTGGAGACCACACACCCTATCATGATTCTCTTATTCCATTGTAAATATTTTAGAGCAGAATTTACTTCATAGGATGAATATAGGAACTAGTTGATGATAAGATTCTATTCTATAAAATTATTATAGAAATAACTGGCTTAGGGATGTTCTGCATTCTAGTGAGCTCCATCCTTGAAGAGTGAACATACAACCTTACTCAGAAATATTGACATTTTATTATGTAGTGAAATGTTGGTGGGTGGTGGGAGATCGTATAGGAACTTGGAGTCAATGCTCATGTTACACTTTTAAGTAGACAAATATAGATCCTTCACTGCTGTGTAACTGCTGTGCATTTATTCTATGGGCTGTAGGTTAAGATCTGTGGTACAGAAGCACGTTGCTTTTTGAAACTAATGTATGAGATCAGGGTAGTCTTATAAATTTCATTTATTTAGCCATAGGAGAGAAACTGTCTGTGCTCATAGTTTTCTTGATAGTGACCTTGGTTAGGCCTAGACACGAAGTATTTGGACTTAGCTTTGAACAAAAAATACCAGGTTAGAAATGGTAAGAAAAGCTTCCTTAAGTTTATCAGCTTTCTTCATACTGACTTATTCGTTGTTTTGGGTTTGTTTGTGTTGTTCATTTTGATGTTTTGTTTTCTATAAAATGAAAAAAATTTAAAAAGCTATTGTGCTTTGTTTCACTTTATAAATTTTTTTAAAAAAATCAGTTGACTATAGCCTGGGATACATAGTGAGTTCAAGGCCAGCCTGAACTACAAAGGGATACCCTGCCTCAAAAAATTTAAAAAAGGAGTTTAACTGTTGGTAAAAATCAATTGACTATACATGTTTTAAATTAGCATCATGGAGTCAAATTTATTAAAAGGTTATATGTAATTGTTCCCAGGAAGTTTAGAAACATTTGGTCCCTTGAGGGAAAACTAGTCAGATAGTCTTTGTTCTTAGAATAGCTAAGTTTGAAGGATTACTTGTTTATCTGTTTAAGTGGATTTGTAGAACACCGTAATGTAATTGGAGAGTAAATTTTAGTTTTAGAGACTTTTTTTTTTTGGTACCAGGATCGAACTTGGGTCCTTGTGCTTCCAAGGGAGGCAATGAAACCACTGAGCTAAATCCCCTGCAGTTTTAGAGACATTTTGATCACACTCAGCTTTTGTCAGTGTAAATTAAAGGATCTCTTTGATCTCTGTTTTAAGTTTAGAACCTTTACAGGTCTCTATTTGCATTCAACTTTATTGGACTCTGATAACTCTCCTATAATTTGCCTTGTCTGGTTTCCTTACAGCTTCCAGGCAGAGATTTTTTGCCATGTATATACCACAGTAAGCTTTGGATTTACTGGATCTAAAAACAACAAGGTAGAGACAAAAACCAATTAATAAATGAGGAGAATTTCCTCCCCTCAATACATACTTTAGTGATCTTAGGCCAAATTGTAATTTTTTAAACTGGCATCTAAATTTCTAAGATTGATGTACTCATTTTTTTAATGCACTAATCTCTTACAAAAACCTGCAGTTTTATTTTTAAAAGTCCATTAAGTAAGTCCTAACAGCTCTGCTTTTCTGGAGTTTACTGCTGGGATATACGTGTATACTACCTTATTGTATTTAAAATGTGTAAAACCAGCAGAACTTTGAAGACCTATGAAGACTGCCTTGGGCTGGGGATTTAGCTCAGTGGTCTTGCCGCCTGCTGCGCAAGCACAAGGACCAGAGTTCGATCCCTGGTACCAAAAAAAAAAAAAAAAAAATGACTGCCTTAGGAATATTAGTATGCAGTTTTCTTCAAGGATATTTTTAAAGGATTTATTCTTAAATGAAAGTTGCTGAATTATTTGTTAAATTTAAAGCTTCTATTTGAACACATGTACACCTCAAATATTCAGGGTGATTAGGGGTTATTCCTTGTTATGTGTTAGAATAAATTTTCGATACGTGTGTTCTATGAGACAATTTACTACTGAGTATAGGATTACTTTCTGAGTTACTGGGCAAGTAATAAACAGGATCTATTTGAAGTATTGCTGTATGACTGTAACTAGCTTTTAGGCTGGGTTCAAAATTACAATGGTTCAACTTTATTGTTTTGTGATGTAGCTATAATGAGAGGACCTTTTTTTCCCTTAATGAACCCTAAAAATGTGTGTAGGGGTTGGGGATTTAGCTTAGTGGTTTCGCCGCCTGCTGCACAAGTGCGAGGACCTGAGTTCAATCCTGGGTACCAAAAATTAAAAATAAAAATTTGTGTAACACAGAAAAACATTTGTGGTTGAAAATTGCTTTCTGCAATATGAAGTACACGGCATTTAAAAATACAGCTATTGCTAGTCAACAGTGAATATTTTATAACGGTGAAAATTAACCATATTACATGGCAAGAAAATTATTATTGTACAGTCCTATGCTAAGTGCCACATTAAAAATCAGATGATGCTGGGTGTGGTGGCACACATATAATCCCAGCTACTCACGAGGATGAAAAGTTTGAGAAAGCCTGGGCAACTTAATATCTCAAAATAAAAAGCAGGGGTGGGGTGGGCCTCAGGGGTGAGGGTGAGGACACCACTCAGTGGTGGAGCACTTAACTGGCATGCTGGAGGCCCTGGTTTGATCTGTAGTACCAGCAGGGGATGGTGGTGACACAGGCTAAGTTAATTCGCTCCTATTTGTGTCTTTAAGGATACAATTTTTTCTTTTTTTCTATAGTTTTTATTTTTTTGTAACTAAGATACTTTTTACTTAAACCACAATCAGGAAACAGTTGTTACATTTTCACTGGCTATGAAAATCAGTTCTTTTTTCCCTCCTAGACAATTCATCTTTTTTGTGAGACAGTCTCGCTATTAGTTCAGGCTGGCCTTGAA